TGGCCAGATCGAGCAACGAACCATAATGCACTGGTGCACTGTGCCAAAAAGTAGAGGTATATAAGAAATAGAAGTATTCATAAGAATTTTAATATATTATAAAATAAAATACAAAATTCTGAATAATACTTAGAATTTAGAATTACTCATATACGTTTTGAATTTTAAAGTCATTATTCTGCTTCCAAATAACTGATGACTCCTCTAATTTTTTAATTCCCTATTTTTAGGATTTTATCTATAATTTCCAAGTATTTTTTCTGAGTGACTCTTAGTGCCTCTGCTGCTGTCGCATAGTTAAATGTGAGCTGTGAGCTATGTGCGGCACATACGAATAGGAACACGAGCACGAGCATCCATTGTAGCAGACGCACACTCCCCCAGAACCCAAGCCCAAACCCAAGCCCAAGCCCAGTGGCAGATAAACATACACTGGCATTCCACATTATAAGCATAAATCCAGGGGCAGCCCACAAAAACTATAAAAGGACCTTCTGGGGTGGGTGCGAATGCGAGAGCGCGCATTTGATGATTAATTGCAGCCCAGATGATAAATGATTGAGGGTAATAGGAGTAGCAAACGTGGTAGCTGCTGTTTAGTTGGATTTCACGATGGCAGAGGGAGGGAGGTTTCCAGGGGGAGGGAGGGGGGTGTGTGCCGCATGGTGGCAAGTATTTAAGGCCCACGGACGCTTGGCCCGCACGTTTGCCTTGCCCCTCACGTCGAGCATATTTTCAGCAATTGCACGTATTTCGGATTTCCCCGTCTCCGTTGCCCAAATCTCCCACTTCCTTTTCTTGGTTCTTTCGGCTCTTTTTTGCTGGCTCTGCTAAAATAACTGTTCTTCTCTTCCCGACCAGACTAAGATTTGGTAGGTACACTGAACGAATAAAACTAGTTATACCTCGAGTAAGGTGAATATCAATAGGTGTTTGAACAATAACAAAGAAACATTGAATTTATAATAAAAACTTATTTAGAAACGCAATTTCTCGTTTTTTTTCTACAACCTATTAATGGAGCAACTTTATTTTTCTCAGTGCATTCAATGGAGTGGGTGTGTGAGAGTGTGTCACTCTACTTTTGGCTTATTAGGTGTAAGTCTATGTGTGTTTGTGCATCTGTCTTCATGAATTTCCCAATGGCAGCATCGTTTTCGGGGGCATTTCTTTTATATTTTTTGCTATTCCCTCATTTTTTGCCACTCTTTTTGCACGGGTGTGCGTGTGCCAGTCTGTGTGTGTGTGTGTACGTGCCATTTTGGGTTTTGTTACGTTTTTGCGTGTGCTAAATGTTAACTGCTGATTGCATATTGTCTGCGGGGCGGTAAGAGGTTGTCGTCGCTGATTTCGGCACTTGTGCGGGATTTCAGTCCGTGCAAAACAAATGGAAATGAAATAATGTAATACATAAATTCGTTTTTATTTAGCATATACATATACTGCCATGGTATGTACATATGTGTGCTCAATGCGGCTTAATTTGAAATAATTTAAATACATTAAATGGCAACCGCAGTTGGGTAATCGCTTCAAAGTGTGGCAAATGCGGTGCTGCGATAAAGCCACATCAATGGACACTGATAACTAAGCGCAAATCCAATCGAATCCGCTTAGACGCTTGAATTAAAACCAATATTCTATAACAACATGCAAATCGACAAATTCTATAAATGAAATTAATCACAAATAGATTGGCAGAGTTGAATAGCATTTTTGGCCCACAACCCGATTTCACACGCCAGCAGGAAGCGAAGGGAAATACCATTTTGGGGTTTTTGTTCTGCTGTTTATACAGAAATGAAAGAATAACATTCCGAACGAATTGAAATCAATCTGCAGCATACGAAATAAATTAAGAGTAAAAACCAAATACCATACCCTCTGCTCCATATTTATTTTTGTTAGCATATTTCTGCTTTCTCTGCGCTTTCAAATTGTTTTGAGTGTGCAGCATAATTTCACAGCTTAGATAAACAGCTCCGGAGAGCTCAAGAAATAGATACAGATACAGATACTGATGAAGATACGGATTCGGATACAGTCTCATGCTCAAATACGTTGTATGTAAATTCATAAATAAAATATACATATGCAGATGCGGCATATCTTGTTTGTGTTTGCCACTGCCATCAACAATTGTGATCCAGCAGCTGTTCAAACGAGAAGACACAAGTGTTCGACCGACCAACCAACCGACCGACTGACTGACTGGCGTACCGAATTACGCATCATAACCATAACATAACAGTATAGCAGCTCCCCCAATCCCCATTCCCCAGTCCACTTCCACTGTCACTTCCCCTCCATAACAATTACAATAAAACAATAAGCAACAGCAGCAGCAAAACGCAGCCGCCGCATCGGAAGCAGGCGGAAGTCAACGGAAATAAACAAAACATCCGCAAGTTCTAATTACAAAAGGCACCAAGCAGATATAGATACATTTCAGGGGGCTGGTTGGATGGTGCGGCAAGACGGGGTGGAGAAAGTTCCAATTTGAATTCCGGCTCCTTTCTGTCCCCAACAACCTGCCTTGTCCCGCCAACTTTTATTAAATGCTGCAATTTAAAGTTTTTAACCCCGAATCAAATTTAACCGACGAAATAAAACGCCTAAGTGATTCCAACCAGAAGGAAACAGATTAAAATATACTCTAACAAAAAATAAATAAAATTAAAATTAATATATTTTTGACATAAACCCACTTGTAAACCAAATGGGAATTAAAATAAACTTAAGTTTTATGAACTGCAAGCTTTTAATATCTGTGCATTCCATAACATTATTCAAAATATAAGATGTTTCAGTTTAACGACCAATCATTAAATAAACAAATAATACCAAGTCGTAAAATTATCCATTTGAGTCGGTTACTTAAGTATTCTCAGCCAAAGGATTCAAGTTTCTTTTAGGGTATCTGAAAGCACTTCAACTCGGGAAGAACCAAAAAACCGAAAAACGTCAACCCCCGACGATGTCGGCAATACAAAATACGAAAAGTTATGCAAAAATGTGTACTCGAGTTCAATTAAAAGTTTTTAAGTTGTGCAAATGAAACGAGTGCATTGCGTCTTCAACTGCGACTCCCAATTCAGACGAAGAATTCAGAATTGAGAACTCAGACTCGAACAGGAACTTTGGCTTAATTGCCGTGTGCTGCCAACACAGAGCCATTTTGGCCAGGCCGAAAGGAATTTAAATTCAGCGAAATTCGTGTAGAACAGTTCCCAATTTAGCAGACGATAAGATTAGTTCAGTGTTATTTTGTTTTCTTTTTTTTTTTGGCGCTATGCGGTAATAATACTTAAACCAAATTTGACTTAAGATATTTCACCGAGTGTGTGTGGCCAGCAGCTAAAGTTGAAGGCCGGCTGAAAATCGAATTGCTAATTTTAGTTTAACATTTTTGAGGGGAATACATTTGAATGTTTTGATTTGGCAAACCTATTTTTTGGCACATTCCTCGAATTTCGACTAGCACTACTTGAGGTTTCAATTGAGGCATGCAGCAAATGAATAAAATAAATCAAACAACCAACGGCAGAGTGTGTGTGGTGTGTGTGTGTATACACTAAACAAATAAACTGGAGGTGTGAAAAGTATCTTTAAATTGGTGGCGGAGCTTAAACGGTAGCCAGGTCGGGATGGATTGGTGCGAGATACAAGATACTAAGTACAAGGTAGGAGGTTGAAGGAGCAGCCTCTGGCGAAGAGCCCTCCGCCTTATCGCAGATTTCCCTCGCCGAATGAATTACGACTTTGCGTTTGATGGGCAAACAAAAAAGAGAGAGAAACTGAAAGCGACACCGAAACCGAAACACAATCTTCTTATGCGTCAGGTTTTTTGATAACACCACCAGACCAGCCGGAGAATATGCCAAAGGCCTTTCTTAACAATAATAAAACCAAAAATAAAACAACGCTACGGAACGCTACGACGAACCAAACGAAACGAAACGAGGGAGCCAACAAAGCTGTCTGCAATCAGCTGGCGGCAACTTCGATTCGTTTTATCAGAGCGGCCAAAAAAGCCAAAAGAAAATAATAAATAAAATACAAGCCAAACAGAAAACCTCACAAACAAACAGACCCACACACACATATGCATATTAAGTGTGCGAAAAAATTCGCAACCAACAAAAAAAAAAAAGTATAAGTATATATGCTGTGTATTTAGTATATATATTATGCATGCCCTCAGATGATAACTGACGCTGGTCGCTGACTGCTGGCGAATTTTATATATTTATGGGCCGGCATCTATTTATTCGGCTCTTCCTCTTGATCGCTTTTTGCACACATATAGCAGCCTATACTATATGGATCGGCTAGAGAGCTATATTTCGTATATACGCTTAGCATGCGCACACAATTTCGCTTATCAAGAGTTTTATAATTTTTAGCAATTTAATTTTAGCTCACGCTCGTTCAGGTAAATTCAAGAGTGCGGGACCTTGAAACGGTTTCTTTTCATTTCTTTTCATTCATTTTTTATTAACCGTAGAAACAAACAAAAGATCTGGGCCCCAAAAAAGAAATTTCCATGCCAGGGGAATTCATAACATTACCGATCGCCGACTATTGCGCAATGCCCCGTTCGAAGGAAGTCCGCATAAAGTCGGTTAATGCTTCGATAAAATACCGCTGACTCGACTAAGCAGTTGAGTCTATGATAAATGTCTAAATGCTATATAAATAACGACCCCGACTAAGGGGTGACGTCAACTAAAGGAAAAATTATAGGGAAAACTGGAGAGGGAAGAAATTTGATTTATGTTTAGAGGCTTAAAAGCCACAACGAAACACAATACGAATGAACTAGAAAATTTCAAATCAAATAGGGGTCGCCACATTCTTTTAGTTTAAAAAGCTCTTAATGGATATTATGATACATGTTCAAAGATATTGGGGACTTTATTTTAGGATGGGGATATGTACTATTATGATTTTTATAATAATTTTTATATTTTCAATAAAGAATGTTTATTAGAACTAACCTGTTGCCATTGATCCTCGATCGACGGCTGCGATGAGTAGTAGCCGGTGGTGCAGATCCGCTCCAACTCGTTGAAGATATTGCCACTCGGAAGGATATCCATCTCGAAATCGTCTTCCTCGCAGGGCAAAAACTCTAGGGACTCCGTTTTGAGGCCGTTGTTAAATGTTTGATGGGGCTGAAGAAAATGTTTACCCAAACTGTTGGCGGGACAACAATTTGAGTTTCTTTTTGATGAAATTTTGATTTGATTTACTTTGCCGGTAGGTTGTTTAGGCGACAGATATCTTTTGATTGGCTTTATTTTGATTTCAGAGGGATTTATACATCCCAAAGATGACCGATGCTGCGACGGACAGCATTTTAACACTCGCGCTGGGATAATTGCTATATGTGAATATTAAATATAGCTAATATTTATTAATCTACGCACTTGCACACGCTCTTAATTTAAATGTGGTATTTTCGGTTTCTTATTTACTTAAATTTTATTTAATTTCAGCACTTTCATTTAGAATTAATTTATCTCGATTCATTTATGAATGCATTCCAATATTTGTGTGGCTGGCTGTGTGTTGGTTTCTGCAAATAAAAAAAAGTGCAAATATGAACATTAATCATTGTGTTTGTGATGGCTGTTGTTTAACCCCAATTTTGTTTTAGGCAATTCGCTCCATTTTCGTAATCTGCCTTTTCCCAATCATTTTCGCCGACTCATCAAGCTCAAGAAATTTTAATTCTCTTCTTATTATTTTATTTTTTTGTTTCTTTTTTGGAACTATGCTAAGTTCATTTTCCCAGCTAGCCAGCTAGCTAGCTGACTATCCTACTTCTCTCGCTTGTGTACATTTTCATATCGGTTTCGGATCGTTTTAGCCAAGCTCAACACTTTTTCACTATCAAAACACAGTTTTGGGTCAGTAACCCCGATTTGAAACACACGTATACTGTATATACACGGTGTGCCCATGCATTCGACGGTGTTTCAGTGTTTCAGTGTTCGGTGTTCGGTGTTCGGCTCGAATTTTATTATTATGATAGTCAACAGGGGCTCGGTTTTGAGCCACGGACCTGGGTTTTCGGCCACAACTCGGCCTCAGCCTGTGTTTTTCTTTAATTTCTAAGCGTTGTCCCTCACTCCTCCTCACATCTCCTCACTCCTCTACCACTCTTCCTGCACACGTATACATATACATACATATACACATACAAATACATATTCATATACATATACATTGAAAGGCTGCCGTGTAAACCCGGTCCGATGTCGATTTTTACTACCTGTTTCTTGTTGTTGTTTGAGCCGGGCTCTTTCACCACGTTTTCGTGTTAACTGAAAAAGAACCACCAAAGCCGAACCCAAATTCGTTGACCGTCCGTGTGCGCTTTTGACTTTTTTTTTCCTTCTTGTATTTTGTTTTTCGACGTTGTTTTTGGTACAGTTTTTTTTTTTTTTTTTTTTTTTGTTTTTGTTGCTGCATGCGGCAGCGGTTTCCCTCTCTTTTTTTTCTGGCCAAATTAGAACTTTGCAATGCATTTGTGTTGGCCCGGCTAAAAGAAACTTTCATTACTCAGCCGGCAGTGGGAGAATTATGTGGGGAGCAACCGAGTGTCGCCGGTGATGGAAAAACCAGACTGTGGCTATATCTTTTCTTTCAGTTGTACACAAAAGATAAATCTAGGATTCACAGCTTTAGAAAATGTTAATTCCTTCTTAAAAAAGCCATGAAAAAGAAGAAATAATTTAAGAAACAAGCTCTATAATTAAGGTAGCCTTTCAATAGGATCTGGTTTTTCTAATATTCCTATTGGGGTCATATTTTATTTCCCAGTGTAGCCTTCTCCCTATCACAATCACAGACGATGGGCCACAGTCAATGGCATTTTTATGTTCTTGACTGTGGCCCATGTGTCTCTGTGTGTCTGGCATATCATCTCTGTGTGTTCGCTTTGTTGGCCGGTTCCCTGGTCTTTGACAATAAGCATGGCTTATTGATTTTCCAGCAGCATTCGAAGGCATTTTCATCCCGAACCTTTCACACACTTGTCCTGCGCTCTGAACTCTTCCTGTTTTATTGTTAGCCATCCAATCGCCCTCCCCCGCTCCCCCAAAACCCCTCGGCGGTCGTTTTCATTTTGATTATCGAACATTTTTATCGCTTGACGTTTTTACAAGTTTGTATTATATGTACATATATAAAAAAAAATAGGATAGCAGAGGGGAAGCCAAACGAAACGAATCGAAACAAAAAGTTATGTCTGGGGTACAGTTTTGGGTCCAGTCTGGTGTTATTTTTTTTTTTTTTTGGCCCTTGTCCAAAGGGTTTGGCTAAGCATGAAATGAGCGGATGGCCGGTTCGCATTTCGCATTTCGCTTGAAACTCGATACTCGATACTCGCTTTACCGTATTGAACTTTGAGTTTTGCGTCTGGCCGGAATGACTGTTTGGTCTAATTAACTGCTAACCCAGTTTCCGGACGTTATCGCTCAAGTAAAATCAAATAAAGGAGCGTGCGATGTACAGCTGCTCATTAAGTTTGCCGCGGGCAACAACAACAACAATCATATGAAATCCCAGCCCACAAGCCGAAAAACAAAAACCCACATAAGCCAGACTTTTCTCCCCAGAATCTCTAATGCCGCTGCCGGTGCCACTCCACCCAGCTGCATTTATGATTGCAACAGCAGCAGCATCAGCAGCAGCAGCAAAAACCAAGAGCAACATCCATGGCAGACACACGTAAAGATACTTTACTCAAATACCCTTCAATCAACAACTTAACGCGCCACGAGGGCAGACAACAACGTTAACTTCCCCCGATTCTTCCTTCTTCTTCTGCCTACGTGCGTTTTAATTTTAATTTTTTTTTTTTTATTTCGTTTTCCCTTCTTTTCCCTCATGTTGCTGCTGTTGCTGTTGCTGGTTGGAGATGTTGCTGCTGCCGCTGCTGTTGCTGCTGCTGCTGCGTGGCCACTTCAGTGCTCAAGTTGATTTGGCTGCGAGTTTGGAGTCGCAATTGGAGTCGGAGTCTCGAGCAGTTTGTTTTTGTTTTGTTTTCCATTTTCGAAACGGAATTTTAAGCGGTAAGAAAGCGCGGGATCCCTCAATGTTGTTGTCGCTGTTGTTGTTGTTGCTGCTGTCGCTGATTTGATTGTTGTTGCTGCACATCAGAAACAGAAACAGAACCACATCGCAACGACCTTAACGGGCAGCCAGACTTGCGACTTGGACTCGGATTCACTCAGCCGACAGCGGCAGCAGCAGCACCAACAGCAACAACAGCAGCAACATCAGCAGACACCGCAGCAACATCAGCGGCAGCAACAACAATAGACTGTGGAAACGTCATCAGCAGTCCAACGGGTATTTGCCTGCATTTGTGAGATTTTGTAGATGCTTTTCATCTTCCATTTCTTCGGCTTGGGGACAGCCACACAGGGAAAAAATCGTAGTAATTTATGTAATTTAAATGAACTAGCTCTGAATATAAACCTCTAAAATTATCGATATAAATAATGAAATTTCTAAGGTATACTTTACACAATTAAAACAAAACATTGTAGTACAAAATAGTTTTCTACATTGGAGAAAATATATTTGATTTAGAGAGAGAAGAAAGGAGCATCTTTTATAAGTGTTTTCAAACTTTGCTTTAGCTGGGAGGCCTTAAGATGGGTTTAAATTATTTTTTATAAATTAATTTTAAACTTAACTTGTATTTTCTGGCTGTGCAGCATGACATGGCAACAGAAACAGCAACACGAACGGAATTGAAATGAATTTCATTCCCCGAACTTGATTTGCCTGCTCCTACGCAAAAGGGGACAAGCTCTTCTCACATTGTATTATTTCCTGCTCGTATTATCTGCCATCCTCCACCGTTGGCTCACCCACATATAGAGTATATACTCGTAGCCGTAGTAGCCGCATATATAGCCCAGAAACAAATCAACACTTTGTTCATTTCACACGTGAATTGCTCCAGAGCAAAACCATCCGAAATGAAAGGGGAAATGTTCATGGCTTGTCTATTTTTATATCGCATTTTGTTTACATTCCAATTCGAGTGGGAATTTTCCTTTAGGAATGGCAGGCACACGCATTCTCAATTAGAATTTCCCATTTCATTCTCTGCTGTTGCGGTTACACGCGGATTGACATTGAAAACATTGAAAACAGGCAACGCAACGGAGTTCTAAAACCAAATTTCACATACAAGCCCCTACATCATATTACACAAGAAAAAAATTATTTACAATTAATGTACCACTACTGAAGTAAACGAAAATCTAACTTGTTAGCACATAGAAGTTTTCCCTAAAGAGAAGTAAGTTTAACTTAATCCCTTTTATTTTTAATGTTCTCGTAAAAGCTGTCTTATTAATTTTACCCACATAAAATGAACACCAATTAAATTGTAGTACGCGGTAAACACATCTGTGTGTTTATCGTTAAAGTTTAAGGTGGAAATACTCAGGTTTTTCTATCTGCACAGCCACAATTTTGGGGTAAATTTGTGAACTGGGGATGGAGTTCGACATTTTCCTGCGGCTTCTTTGCGGTTGCCAGCAATTAATTCATATTAAGGTAAAAATGTTGCTCCGGATTTGTACCTGTTGGCAGGGATATGCACGTTATGCCACCGCAAAAGGAAGTTCGGAAATTCTGTCAAGAGATTTCCTTCCCGCTTTACGATTTCACCATTTTACCATTTTACACAAATTGACCAGCAAAACAACAAGGCAATTCGAATCCGAGCCGGAAGGAGAAGGAAACTGTGCTGGAAGGCAGATAAAACAAAAGAAGGAGAAATTCCCTTTCATTTGTATTGTGCCTGTGCGCGTCATTTATTTTTAGTTGGCAAACTGCTTGTGTGTTTATAAACAAAGCGTTATTTATGTTCTCTATTTTATTTTCGTACAGCCAAATAAATATTAATAAAGACCCCGGCGCGTATATTATCAAGGCGACAGTTTCGACGGGGGCACTTTATTTTCGGCCTCCCGGCACATGTGGCATCCCCTTTTAATTGGGTCTGGACCCATAAATAAGACTAAGTCCTCCCCGAATTGTCTTTTCGCAGGCGAGAGTGATTTTGAAAACCATTAGCGGGTATTAACCACATTCCCTACGACGTCCCCTTATATTAACGCCAATCTGCGGCAACACTCAGTGCTGAGTAATTGGATTACAAAGTGAAGCTATCAGTAAATATTTAGTGTACGAGGAACCCGGCCCTTTATGACAACCTGTGCCCCTCTATTTGTGTTGACATTCGATGGAAAGCGTAAGGGGAAACCGAATGCAAGTCGAGCTGGAAGCGATTCGAATTAATCGCAGAAACAAGTGCAATGCCTGTTCGATACGCCTGCATACGAATGCCATATATATTCATATATATATATATATTTATACACCCATCTAGACATTGCTATAAATGTGTATTTCCTTTGGCTATTCATATTTATACGATTATTGGCGGCGGCGCCGGCGAGTCAACCGCATTTCAAATTGAATACTACCCAGACTTTGCATGAATCAGAATCCGACTACGTGATCCCATCGATGCAAATGTATCTGCATCGCCAGCTGAAAATGCTTCGCTGTAATAATAGTCACAGTACGAGAATCTGGAACGGAACCGATTAGACGTCTCGATTTTGGCCTGTGGCGAGCGATGAGTGTAGGCAAGTGACTACACAAAGGAAAAATATCATAAAACCTCTTTATCACTGGGTTTTTTTTATATCAATACCGCAAAAAACAACACGAACCTGCTACAAAAAAATATTACTAGAAACACATTTTTTTAGAATGACAATGTTTAAAATTTCTTTATTTAGCTGAAACCGACAATTACTATTTTTATATAGATTGTGCACTATAAATTCGTTTTAGTTTTTATTTCACTTTATTAGTCATTTGAATGTTTACTGAAGCATTGAACTTGTGACTTGTCTTAAAATCTCACTAACTCAAATTGTTGTTTGACAGTTAAGTGAGTTAGGAGCCCCCAGATAATATCACCATTATTTCGGCAGTATTTCTTTCTCTGTATGCTGTTTTCCTTTTTTAACTTCTATTACTCATTGTACATGGAAAAGAGGGGGTTGGAATGGTTGGGGGTTGGGAATTGTGATTCACAACGGACGTGCTAAAAATTGCACTTGTCTGCCGGATAGCGGTAAATCAAAGCCGCACTTCTCACTCGCCAGTTAATGAGCTTTCAATTTCGGTCTTTTCTTTGGCTTTTCGTATTGCAATTTCCTTTCGGGCCATCATACCTGGCTAACTTGTTGTTGTTGCTGCTGCTGCTGTTGCTGCTGCTGTTGTTGATGTTGTTGTTGCTGTTGGTGTATCTGCAACACTTGCCACCGTAACTGCAATATTTTTTTTCTTATTTTTTTTTTTTCCAAACTCGTTTGCACACAAACACACCGACACACTAACACCAAGACATCGACGCAACGCCGGCTAAGGCAAAAATAACAACAACACAACTAACCAGCATATAGAACAATAATAATAACAACAACGATCGCACACCGATAAGAACTTAGTCGTATATTTTACACAATGATTGCTTGTAGTTGTTGCTGTTGTTTTCCGCGAATTTTTCACGGCTTTAATTTGCAGCGATATCGCCGATATTATGTATATTTTTTTAGTAATTTTCTGTATTTACAGTTGTATCTTTCACTTTTCCACCAGCCGGCGATTTGTTTGGATTTCCTTTGTGTGGGGGAAGGGGGGTTGTTTTTATTTTTTTTTCTACAGTAGCACTTGTGTTTTCCAAGCTTTTTATCAAACTTGTCAGCTTATCGGAGCCGAAGATACACCGCTCGTTTTGTTTTTTTTTTTTTTGTTTACACGCGCTGCTCACACAGATACTCTCACGCACACGCACGCATACACGGCATAAACAAAATCGCAATCCGTAAGGTTTTTTCGTATCTTTCGGAGCTGCGCTTTGTGTGGTTTGTTTTCTTTTTTTGGCCAAAATAATTATCAGTGCGAATATGTGTAGGTTAATCCGATAACTGCGATTGCGGTTGCGATTTTCCGAGTAACCGGCAAAAACGAGGACGAGAGCAAAACGCGTCTTTCCGCTTCGACTTCTGAAATTTGACTGTTATGCGTCTGTAAAGCGAACTATGTTAGAGGCCCCAGTCGGAAAACACTGTTATCAGCAACATTATGCACTCGGCTACGAAATGTTAAGGGGAATGTTAGGTGCATCTGCGAGATAGCGAGATGAAAAAATTCAATTGGTCGCAATTTAAGAAGAGTTTGCTTTAATCGTTTTTAGTGTTTCGTTAATTTCTTGACAACTATTATGTTTTTGTTGAATTTTGTTTATGGTATGCATTTAATGCATTTATTTTTAAAACAAGAAGTTTGAGCTTTAAAATGTTTATAAAATATAATTAAAATTTGACAAATATGACAAATATTATTTTAATTTTTATATATAATTATTTTGCTCCTTAATATTAAAATAAACTGAGTACGCTTATATTTATACTTTTGACTTTTTTAATGCATTTGTAAATTATATGTTTTATTAAACTACTTAAGTTAATGGTAAAATTAAAAATTAATTTTTTGTTCTGCTTTTATATATGTAGTAAATTTATTTAATAAATGAAATACTTTTATTCGTTTTTATTTTCGTTTTTTCAAATAAAAAAAAACTTTGACTGGTAACCATTTATATCACAAAACATCTCATTCAACAAAAACGGTTTTAGCTTTGGCGCCAACATAATTTTAATTTAACCTAACGAAGCCACCGTAAAAACTCAACGAAACTATGCTAACAGAAACCCGAGATACTGTTAACGAATATGCGGTTCGTGAAACGAGAGAGCGAGTGGTGAGAAAAACAAAGCAGGTTTTTAAGAGAGAGCACTCTGAACTCTCTTTAAAAGAACTCTCTTTCCAATTGGGCCAAATATTTAATTTATAAGATAAATGTTAAAATGTTAATAATAAAAATGATAATAAAAAAATAAAAAAAATTATACATGTTTTTTATATCAATATTTTTTAATTCGCTATTTTGCTTATCAAAGAACTTTTAAACGTTTACTGTTATACATTTACGATATTGGCCGGTATGTTAACTAACACTTGTCTAACATTTAATTCCGGCCATGACAATCAATTCCGATCATTTGGCTAATTAGCCAAAACTGGCCAAAAGCCCTTTTGAAATATGTATGCACTTCCTGCGGTACTTCGTTGGCCTCCGTGCTGCTTCAATAATTGACAATCACATTGCGTATACGCCTGCCAGCCGAATTATGACAAGCGGCATAATTGCAAATAAACAAGCAACAATGGGCACCTTTGGTAGCACCCACTAAAATATGTCAACGGGTGAAATTGTGTTTAATGAACAACTTATTTGGATTATAAAAACAATTTGAAATAAATATTAAAAAAATATATATTCTTAAAATATAAAATCAAACAATACTCACATTTCCAATTTTCTTTTTAATTATATTTTTATTTTCACAAAATTAGTTTCAAAATAAGATATATATTCTCTTTACTCACTGTTTAAATATTTTTGTTGTATACATTTCATTTCAGTTGATTTGAAGTAGATTTGACTGTACTTAAACACATGTGCATATCTAACCGCCCATTGAGATTATAAGACGGCAAAGGTGCGTTGACAATTTGACATCTTGCTCCTCGTTTGACTCCGTTCTAGGTGCTCAACTTGGATTCCCACTTCTCAGTTTCCCAGTTCCCAGTCCCCAGTTCTCAGTCCCCAAATCTCACTCCCCGTTTTCCCTGGCCTCCTCCAACTGGCGACGGAAGGCGGAAGTCACACAAATCCGTAAATGGCACAGTTTATGCCACCAAAAGCTCTCCCCAAACTTGGGCCCAAGTTAGAAACGGCAAATTGTCCATTATCGGTGGACGAGGAGGCCAAGAGGGGGGAACCCAAATAGGTGAGGTGGTGAGGGGGGTTTTACCAGTGCAATCGTTATTAATATTGATTGGAGCATAAACTGGCGACGGGATTCGAGCGGGATCTCCATAAGCATACGGCTCGAAATGTTGTCGATTAATTGCGATTATGTAAATGTTAATGTAAAGCGCGTTACAATTTATTATGTTTGCAGGAAGGCTTGCATGCAAAGTGCTCTGGCCCAAAACACACATGTGCATGCTAATGTGCGTATCCGTTAGGTTGCCAAGTTTGGCTTATTGATTTAGTAGACGCTGCAAATTGCGCTTTGATAGCGTCTAATGTGACGTTTGTGCAATTGTAATGGAAATTTATGTTTGTCGGTCTGTGTTTGCCGTTCTGCCGTTCTGCCGTTCCACTGCCGTTGTAGTTGGCCAGGACAGCGACGCTGGTTGGGCTCGAAAGTCCAACTGGCCTTAATTACAGGTGTGTCTGTGGCTGCCCACCTCTGGGGCCTGCATATTGAGCACTCTCTGGAGTTTCGGGAGAAACAATTACGGCGGCAGACTTGCAGATTAAGTGCAGTCAAGGGACGTTCTTGAATTGATCAAACAGTTGATCCGGAACTTAATATGTCAACACCTTCAAGTGTAAAATGTGGGACAACATTTATAAGAATCTTATATATTTTGAATTCGTTATTTAGACATTTTGGAAAGTATTTGTAAGTTTCCTTGTAAAGTTGTAAATCATGTTTGCAATCAACGTAAAAATATGATTTATTATTATTTTGAATGCGCTGTTAAATTTTAATTAAAAGGTAAACTTTATTACAACGCAATCGCGAACATATCAAAACTCATAAAAACCCTGAGAGGCAAAATGAGTTGTCTGTTTAAGCCAGCTACCAATCTCTGACTCCAATGAGTCGCTTGTCCATATTAGCCATCAATAACAGCACTTCAAGTACGTATCTCACAGATACAGACCGCTGGAAGCCACCTACTCAACTGGTAAACTGGCGACTACCAACGGGCGACCGACTGAGCCATTAAGGAAATCATAAAGTGCATAAAATCACAAAGCAAATTGCTCAAAAAACAGGCACAATATGCGCTCGCAGTCGGAATCGCCAAGCAGACGGAGTGAGGAGTGAGGCGGCCAAGAAGACGACACTTTCCAGCTTAAGCCAATGGCCAAAGCCCAAAACCAAAACCCAAGCCAGCCATTCAGCCAGGCAGCCCAGCCAGCAGGTTGTGGGGGCCATGGTTAATGCTGCTGCCAAAGCGAAAATATTTTGATGTATTCATGAAAACATTTTATGCATGTTAAGTAACAGACAAATCGACGGAAACTTATGCTACGCCGGGGTTTTCGATGGCAGGGGCGGCCCATTCGGCTGATTAATAATTTACGTGGTAATATTTCTGTTGGCTGTTACCCCGCCAAACAAAAAAAAAACATAAACAAGAAAAACAAAGGCTGGAACGTGGTACAGTGAAGCTACAGAGACTGAAAGCAAAGGTTAATGATAATACTAATTCATCTCCATAACAATTTAAGTATTTTATTAGATAGGTTCAAACTACTAAAAACAAACATCATGTTTTCTTATCATTATTTAAAGTTCCCCTTAAACGTTTTACACTGTACCTGAAACCCAAGAATCATTCAAGGTGGAAAAGTGGCCAAGAAGGCGAAAGAGATGGCAACAGGCTGAATGCGTGAGTGAGAGGCAAGAAAATGAAAGAAAGAGCGAGAGAAAAACAAGGCAGACGCATATGAATTGGAAACTAATCGTGGAATATGAGAATGATTATTATGCACATCACACTAATCATTATCTCTGTCATGGGCAGTCGGGGGATTCGCTACTTCTTCAGTAGAGGGTGGAAAACCCAGGGAAAATCCAGAAGGAAAGTCAGAAAGAGACGGGGCGAGAGCTAAACATGTGTGGCTCATAAAAATCTGTTGATATTCATTGCATGTCGCCGGTGGAACCCGGTCCCTTTTCTTTTTTTTTTTTTGTTTTTGGGGGGAAAAAAACTTTTCCGGCTTAGCTTTGGGCTTTAAGCACACACTTTGTTTGATTTCTTTTCGGGCCCCGTTAATGGCCAAAACAAATTAATGTTGCAGGGCATTCATTCATTAACTGCTTTGTCATTTCAACGCTACTCCGCCTTTTGCAGAAATTAATTTAATTTTTGGCAAAAATAAACACTTGCCATCCACTTAGCTGCAGTCCATTGCCTCAAGTAAACAAGGCGGCGCAAGTTTCTCGAGATGAAAAACTTCCTTCGGCCAACTTTTATGCGTCTCTATTTGCACGTCTTTGACAATTTCAAACTGTTGGGTATGCAAATAGGCGCAGCAACAATAAGCCATGCGAATCACATGAGCAGGCGAGAGGGTTAAAATACAAACAGAATGACTGACAAGTCTCAGAAACTCTGAGGATAACGAACGAAAAGAAAAAAATGAAGGGGAAGTTGGGGTGCCAATAAAGAACTAAAAATAAATTATACGCATGTCGTTTCGCATATCAAAATGATTACAAAGGCGATAGCAATTCTGAAGAAACTGACCTGCGCAAATTGACTATTAAAAGCAGATAAGGAAACTAATAAAAATTTAGCACTTCAAAAAAACTACTGAGCAACTCAAGAAAATCTTCGGTACATTGATTTCATTTTTTTGTAGTTATTTATGGAGAGCTGTTCAATTAACTATACAAAAATATTAGGCTTAAACACAACATTTTTAATTACAATTCGATGGGGATTTCAAGGGATTAATTATATATTTAAAGCGTATTAAAATAAATTGCTTTTGATATGTTGTTTAAAATTGTTCACAATTATGTTTTACAAATTATTTTGGTCAACTTAATCTCAAATCAGATCGATAAAATGTTTTCGTTATTGTAAAACATACAACCATTTTAATAAATAACCTTTTTAACGCGCAGAGAAGTGCATTTAATTATGAAAGCCAATTGATTTATATGAATATCGTTTTCAGCGTTAATTTGTGCAATACCAAGGGTGAAAAGCTCTCGAGTCATTGTATTATAGAACGGCTTAATATGGATTAACCCGGCCATTAATTTACCGGCTAGCAATTAACGAACAGTTGGCTTAGAAGAGAGCTGTGTAATCCTCGATTTCACGCCACGTTAGATTAATTAACTTTTTC